TTTTTCTAAAATCGTCATGGACTGTGTAGGTCCCTTGCCTAAAACCAAGGCGGGCAACGAGTACCTACTTACCTTTATGTGTTCAAGTACCCGTTTTCCCGAGGCGATTCCCTTACGGAACATTAAGGCAAAGACTGTAGTCAGAGCCATGACCCGGTTCTTCACTACCTTTGGATTACCTAGAATCGTGCAAACAGATCAAGGCAGCAACTTTACCAGTCACCATTTTCAGGAAGCGCTAGCCAAGCTAGGCGTTACCCACATCACCAGCTCAGCCTACCACCCTCAGTCTCAAGGCGTACTTGAGAGGTTCCACCAAACCCTCAAAACCATGCTAAGGACATTCGCTAACAGTAACACCCAATGGGATGAGTCTGTTCCTTGGATTATTTTCGCCGCGAGGGACTGTGTCCAGGACTCTTTAGGCTACTCGCCTTTTCAACTTGTGTTTGGACATTCTGTCCGTGGCCCCCTGAAGCTGATACACGAACGTTGGACAGGTACCAGTGATCATCCAGTGGAAAACTTCGACGATTTTCACGTTCGACTGAAAGCCGTGTGCGAAATGGCTAACAAGAACTTAAGAAAGGCCCAAGTTAGAATGAAAGAACTGTATGATAAAAGTTCTTGTAAACGAACATTCAATCCAGGCGACAAAGTTCTTGTGCTAGTGCCTAATCTGAACAATGCGTTATCCTTGAGATATTGTGGACCCTTTACTGTGCATTCAAAATTAAGTGATTTGAACTATGTTGTCAATACGCCCGACAGAAGAAAGAAACAGACAGTGTATCATGTCAACTCACTGAAAAAGTATTATGATAATTGTAACAATTTTCAATCCACAGCTAAAATTACTTTACCTGTATGTTCAAATGTTTCTGATGATGTGATACATGATAAATTGAAACCCCCAAAATTGGTAAATTCTTCCTTTTTAGATAATTTGAATGTCCACCTTATGCATTTGTCCACAGAGGAAAGCCATAGATTATCTCAGTTATTTGAGACATTTCCCTCTATTTTTGGGGATGTCCCCAAAGAAGCGAAGGTTCCACCTCATGATGTAGACGTTGGTGACGCAAAACCCATTAAACAACACCCCTATAGAGTTAACCCGGAAAAAGCTGCTTTGATAAAAGATGAAATTGATTATATGCTCAAGAATGATATCATTGAGCCCAGTTTCAGCAACTGGAGTTCCCCATGTCTCCTAGTACCGAAAGACGGTGGATCTTTCAGGTTTGTGACCGACTTTAGGAAGGTGAATGCGCTCACCAAAGCTGATTCCTATCCCTTGCCTCGGATAGAAGACGTTATTGATAAAGTTGGTCAAGCTAAGATAATTTCCAAAATTGATTTACTTTCAGGATACTGGCAAATCCCCTTATCTGACCGTGCAAAAGAAATATCTGCTTTTGTAACCCCTAATGGTTTTTATAGATACAAACGCATGCCCTTTGGTATGCGAAATGCTGGTCAAACTTTCCAGAGGGTCATTAACTCTGTCATTGCTGACATAGACCAATGTGAGGCCTACATAGATGATATAGTTGTATTTTCTAATACTTTTGAAGAACATATTGTTCAATTGACTAACCTTTTTAGAAAATTGTCTGAAGTTAATTTTACTGTAAACTTACATAAAAGTGATTTCTGTAAAGCTTCAATTACCTATTTGGGTTATCAAGTGGGAACGAACCAAGTTCGGCCCATTGAAGCTAAAGTAGATGCTATTGTAAGGTTACCACCTCCCAAAAATTGTAAAGAGATCAAAAAGTTCCTTGGGATGGCTGGTTACTATAGGCGGTTCTGTCAAAACTTTTCAGCTATTGCTGAACCTCTTACTGCATTATTGAAAAAGGGTGTTGAATTTGAATGGTCCAATAAATGTCAAGAAGCTTTTTTAACCATTAAGTCATTTTTATCAAATGCTCCTGTTATGGCTGCACCAAATTTTAGCAAGCCCTTTAAACTTGCCATTGATGCTAGCAACTTAGCCATTGGCTCAGTCCTATTTCAAGAAGACAACATGGGAATTGACCATCCCATTGCCTTTTTTTCCAGGAAGTTAAATGAGAACCAAAAGAATTATTCTACTATTGAAAAAGAAGCTTTAGCTTTGGTTTTGTCATTACAACATTTTGAAGTCTATGTCTCTTCTTCAACCAATCCAGTCAGAGTGTTTTCTGACCATGATCTCCTGAAATTTACCTCTAAGTTAGGACAGACAAATCAAAGAATATTGAGATGGTGCTTATATTTCCAAAATTTTAATCTGGAAATTTCACACATTAAGGGTAGTAATAATGTTGTGGCTGATTGTTTGTCAAGGATGTAAAATCTTGTTACACACATTGATCATGTGACATGCTTTGTGGTTCATTAGGACCATAAACAGGTTTTGTTTGAGTGTCACTCATATGAAAATGAGTGGTGTGAGTTTTGAATTTTTTTCAAAATTCCAATCCTGTTGAATATTTTGTTTATTTTCAGGTGAACCTTAATTAAAGGTGGTTTTTGATTATATGTAATCTTTTATAATAAAATGTCTCATATGACTCAATTGATATTGTAGCTAGTCATTGAAATAAAGGTCTTACCCTGGCGGGTTTACCACTTTTAATATCCACATGGAAATATTGTAATACCCTTTTCTGAGGGATTTTGATGTATAATTACTTTTTGAAGGGTTACTCCCCTTTCACCAATTGTAAAAGTTGGAGTTACTTCCCTTTTATGTTCAGGGATATTTTCATCTGGTATTATGATTTTGATTGCCTACATTTGTAAAACATTTTTGTTATTTCATTGCCAGATTGGTTCCTTATGTATGTTTTTGTGGAACCTATCTGTCACTTCCAAAAAGGGAGGGGATGTGACCTACTTAGGTCGAGTCATTTTTATTTTGACATTGTATAATTCCTTATATGGAATGATGGTGTAACACCTGGGGTTTTTCCACTGACTTATTAAGGTGTTTGAGACATAGAAATTTTCCATTAAAATCTGATTGAATGATTCTGATCAGATGATTATCCCAACCAATGGCGACATGAGTTGAGGATAACCTCCCCTGTCACAGAAGTCTTTAATTGCACTGCACACGCGCAACACGAGGCAGTTTATCTTGACCTGGCAGTCTACGAGGCAGTTTTATCTTGATCAGGCAGCCGTCCATATTGTCCGGCTATAGACTCTGACCATTTGAACGTGAGAGTACTTAAGACCTGTGTGTGCCTTGCTTTCTTAAGTTGATTTAGTCTTCTAGTTTAATATTACTTGTCGCTAAGTAATTCTAGAAACTACAGCAGTGTTGTGTGGCCTGTAGCTGTTCTTTAGACAGTGTAGAAATCTGTGATAGTGTTTTTTCCTACATTGTGTAAGTTGGGTTTTGATATTTTATACATTAAATATTTTATTTAGTTCAACCTTGTGTTCTGCCACTTCTGAGTTCGCTGATTAAAAGGTCGTATGTAGATTGGATGAGTGTTAATTACAATAGTATCACTAGCTTCCCTAGACATTAAATTCGAGCCCTAGTGGGTCGTTGTGTTAAGTGTTCATCCACTTAGGCCGTAAGGCATTTGCATATGACCCCGAAAAAAGAATCCGGGGACGTTCTCCTTCTATTTGGCTGATAGATAGGTTAACGTTACACCCTTCATTAATAAAATGAACAACAACTTTATCTCTCAACACCTCTGACTTCTGCGTAACAGAATAATCCAATTTCAATTCCTTAACAACACTAATCAAAACTTTTCTACTCAACTTCTCGACCTCTTCAAAAGTAGGATTAGCCAAAAAAGACTCCATAACGCTAACTTTCAAATCACAACAAGCCTAGGTTCACTAACTTAACACGGTGCGTTGAGCCGTGTACTTGACCTCTTCAATCTAGGACGACACGTCTGGCTATTGACCTAGATACCTCTATGCTTGCGCGCGTTGTAAGAACACTGCGCTACTGGATATAAAAACAACTAAATCCAACTAACCTTAGTATTTAACTGATATGACCAACAACTGGAACGACAGACTAAATCCCGGACGAGCCCCCACTTTGTAACGTCCCCTATCTATCAGCCAAATAGACGGTGAACGTCCCCGGATTCTTTTTTCGGGGTCATATGCAAATGCCTTACGGCCTAAGTGGATGAACACTAACACAACGGCACACTAGGGCTCGAATTCAATGTCTAGGGTAAACTAGTGATACTATTGTAATTAACACTCATCCAATCTACATACAACTTTAATCAGCGAACACAGTTGTGGCAAAACACAAGGGTGAACTAGTTAAAATATTTAATGTATAAAATATCAAAACACAACTTACAAAATGTAGGAAAAACACTATCACAGATTTCTACACTGTCTAAATATAGCCACAGGCCACACAACACTGCTATAGCTTCTAGAATAACTCAGCGACGAGAAATATTATACTAGAAGCCTAAATCAACTTAAGAAAGCAAGGCACACACAGGACTTAAGTTCTCTCACGTTCAAATGGTCAGAGTCTATAGCCGGACAATATGGACGGCAATGGTCTTAATAGACTGTTGATCAAGGTAGACGGCCTGACCAAGGTAAAATCGCCCTGTAGACTGCCTCGTGTTGCGAGTGTGCGGGGCAATTAAAGACTTCTGCAACAGGGGAGATTATCCTCAACTCATGTAGCCATTGGTTGGGATAGTCATCTGATTAGAATCATTCAATCAGATCTTAATGGAAAATTTCTATATCTTAGACTCCTTAATAAGTCAGTGGAAATTTTCCGGTTGTTGCACAATCACTCCATATAAGGTATTATACAATGTCAACATAAAAATAGAACCTGACTCGACCTAAGTAGGTCACAATATATATATATATATATATATATATATATATATATATATATATATATATATATATATATATATATATACCTGTTTTATTAGCAAGAATAGTGTCGGGTTACATTATAAAGGTAAAATTTTCTGAGCACCCACCAAGTCAAGGTAAAATAAAACTTCAGGTGAAACCGTCTTGCTGCAGCTTTGACACTTGCTATTTTTATCGTTCTCGCTAAAATTGTAAAGATATTGCAATTAAACTTTGCAGTCAGGTTATAATATTTTTATCTTTTAAAGACAGTTTTTAATGATATTATTAAAAGAAAACAAAAATGTATTTTTCAAAGGTGTAGATGGCCTTACGTTTCCACGTTATCATCGTTTATAGTTTTTTGAAAATGCTGAAAAAGATATTAAAACTTTGTATATATATATATATATATATATATATATATATATATATATATATATATATATATATATATATATATATATGTGTGTGTGTGTGTGTGTATGTGTATGTGTATATATATATATATATATATATCCTAATATATAATAGCCCATGTGCGCACTTCTCTCTCTCTCTCTCTCTCTCTGACCACAATAAATTTTCGCCGGATATCACATCAGAATCTGCAGCGATATATGGAGTACTTGATACGGACTTTGGTTGAAAATAATATGGTAGATGTTTTAAATGTATAACCAACGTTTTATATAAAGAAAGAAAATAATAAATAAAGGCGTATTCGAATGTAGAAAAACAATTTTAATTATGCAACCGGAAAAAGGTTTATAGTTGGGACAAGAGCGCATTTAACAATGACGTCTCTTAATGTTTACACTAAAAAAAGAGCACGAAACTAATGACGTCATCTTCCGAGTTTAGAATAAAATAAAGAAATGTATTATTTCATTCAAATATGATTTAGAGCTACGTACGCTATGAAATACATACAATTGTATATATATTGTATATATATATATTGTAAATATATAAAATTGTATCTATACAATACAATTTTCTCGGCATAAACTTATAAAATTTACTTTATCTATTTGGATTCTAGATCTAGATCTAGAGATTCTAGATCTAGAGATTCTAGATCTAGGCTACATCTAGATTCTAGCTAGATCTACGCAATAACTAGACGCAGACGCTAGATCTAGATCTAGATTTCAACTCTATCTACTCTAGAATCTATTCCAATAATACATTTCTATATTAAACAATTCAGGCCTTAATTGTTTTATAGAAATATTTGTATTTCAAATACGTATAGGTAGCCTTTGTTATTTTTAATGTGTCGGATTTTTAGCTATTTAGTTATATCTTTGCATGGTCACTAACAATGTTTCTTCATAACTTTTGAGATCGTAGAAAACTCCGGGAGACCTTAAGAACTGACCGGACCGAATTTTCCCCACATCACATCAATCTCTCTGAAAACGGGCTATAAACAACATTCAACAACAACAACAACAACAATTTATTTAAATTAGCGTTACTGTTAAAACGTAAGCACTACACATAACAGCCAATTACTAATTAATTAAGCATTAAAATTCTCAATGTTTTTGAAAACCTAAGCGAAGATTGGCAGCATGCCTAGTATATATATATGTATATATATATATATATATATATATATATATATATATATATATATATATATATATATATATATATATATATATATATATATATATATATATATATATAAAATAACTTGTTATAAGCAGAAGGAACGGATTTAAAACTTTACCAATTGATTAATGAAATTCACACTGTTTTTCCATATTTTATGCTGAACCTTAATACAAGCCTTCTCCGAGAGAAAAGTTTTATTATATGTTTCCATGGCCAGTTCAATACAACTTGTGTTTCCCCACTTAGGTATCTTTTGTAGCAGAATCTTAAATGTGAGCTCTTTATCCTTACTATATGATTCGGCAATCAGATCAGTGGCACACTTTTCGTAGAAACTTGAAAAATAAGACAAGTGGGGTGTTGTTTTTAATATGAAGTAATAAAAAAAATAGTCTAAAAATGTCCCAAAATGTTTGCAGTTTTTACTTCTAAGACCTTGATTATTTCTTATACATAAGTGTTAAAAGTCGTTGATACAAATATTTGTAATGAACAGTAAACATTTTATCGTAATATTTTTTACTCTATATAAATTAAATTTCTAAGGAAATTCAGTAAATATACACACTTCTTAGCATCAGAATATTTCTTTACATTATTCGTTGGATCTCGTTTTGTTTTTTCTCTAAAAATGCCAAAGGCAAATAGTGCTGCTATGATGGGATGCTGTGACACAGTTAGAAAGCACAAAAGCAAAAATTAGTAAACTGCATATTTATAGTGATAGCTAATGTAATTTATTACACTTTGTACATTTTTTTATTACATTGTACCATAAGCCAACTCCGTGTACAACAAAATCGGTTTATAGAACCCTATCATGATATCTTACATAATTATCTAAATCATAACTGTAACCCTAAAAATAATTGTGCCCAGAGCCCATCAAAAGGAAAAACAAGCAAACTTTTTAAAATAAAACATATTTCTGTAATAAACAATTAATTTTTAGTTGTATTTTGGGAGACTCACATCAACGTTTTTCCAAAACACCTTTGAAAGTTCTATTTCATCTGCTAGAAGTGACCATACAAACAAATCCCGTAGTGCATTTTTATTAAGTTTACTTGGATAGACGTCCTTGTCTAAAAATTAGTAAGTTTTTTAGGTAAGCCTAATAAATCATAAAACCTAATGCATTAAAAATAATGTGAAATGATGCAGTTTAAACCTACTAATTAAAACTTACCTTGTCTGGCTATATAGTTACTAATATCCTCTTTCTTATAACGTTTGAAAGAGAAGAATTCCCCTAAGTATTCTCTAAGACGTGGTGAAACTTCATTCAAATCCATTATTTTTTCATTCTTAAAAAAATAGATAAAATTACTGTTAAACTATTGGTAAAAAAAAACTTGCAGTGGTTAACTGCATTGAGTTTGAAACATAAGAAATTTTATTTAAACTGTTGCAAAAATCATTAACATAAAACTTTTAATTAGTTAGTATTTATCTCTTGCAAATAGAGAAAGTAACATTTTGAATATTTTTGACACAAAATATTACACTGGCAATTTTACAGCCATAAAAAATTGTAAAAGCTTCTAACGAAAATATTAGAAACAAAAATCTTTTACAATTATTTGTTTAAGAAAAAAAAGTAATATATAAGAAAACACGCACTGCACTCCACTGTGTATCTGTATAGAGTTTATTCAGTGCAGACAATGAAAAGACAAGTGTAAAATTACTTCCATTGTTGATGAAATGTTCAATAAATTGTTGACGTTTTAAAGTCACAGCATGCGGTAGAATTTGTGTCAACCACTGTTCTTTCTATACAAATGTAAATTAAAATGAATTAACAAGTCTTTGGCTTCTCTTGAATGCACACTGTTTTGTTAAAAATAAAACTTTTTTGAAACATTTTATTAATTTTTTAGAACTTAATTAACATTTTTATACTAATAATAAAACATTAATAAATGTAATTCAAAAGGATATTTTGCTCTTATTATTATTGCTCAATACATGTAAATAACATTTAAATAAAAGTATATTTACCTCAAGATTAAAATTTGGAATAATATTGCTATCATAAATCTTGAAAACCTCATACTGATTGAATTCAATGCACAATTTCAGTAGGTTCACATCTGAATTAAGTTAAGAAGTAGTATTAGATTCTTTAGAACAGTCTAACAATAATGTTGCTTACCGGTAATTTCAATTTTATTCACAAACATGAGTAAGCACAACCACTTAATGTACTCGAATGCCTGTCTTCCAGGCAGATAAAAATAACCTTCAGCGCTCGCTCTGTAAGAAACCTCTACCAGAGGCGTAGCGACCCTTCCCGGCGCCCGGGGACAAACTTTTCGATTTGCACCCCCCCCCTCAAGATTTTGATTTGCGCCCCCCCCCCCCCCCCCCTCAAACTTTCGATTTGCACCCCCCCCCCCTTGAGATTTCCATTTGCACCCCCCCCCCCCCCCTTCAAACTTTCGATTTGCACCCCCTCAACCTTTCAATTTATTTTTCCAACCCATTTTAGCGCCCCCTAAGGTCGGCGCCCGGGGACATTTGTCCCCCCCCCCCCCCGCCCCCCTCGCTACGTTACTGACCCTTACACTCTAGAAAGACAATACGAACACTTCTTCCTTTGATCATAATGAGACGAAGACATCCATCTTTCTTTAACAACGCTCCTGACCACACAAAAGACGATAAACGTGCACTGCAGCGACGAGACGACGATTTCCTTCCCATAACAACAAGACAAGGACTGACTAAATCTTGCATACTTTTTCCTGTTACCCATTTACATGTAGTGTCACATTCTTTAGTGTCACAACATCCTTCCATACGCTAACAATGGTATATCCAAAACAACAAGCAGCATTGACTTTACAACAATCAATAAAAGGAGTGTTAATTACATAAACATTTTTTTAAAGAAAAAGATAAAAGACATAATAGTCAAAAAATATCAAAATACGTACTTTTAGTGTGTTTACTTGTCATAAGCAGTGCAGTAAGAATACTTTTTTTGAGAGAATCCCGGTTGTCCGATGTGAAATCGAGTATTTCGTATTTTTTATGTTTCTTCAAAGTTTCTAAAATATCTCTATTTATCTTTGTCCTGTAATTTTAAAGTATACATTTTTTTATATTATATTTTTTAAACATGAGCTTTTTCATAATCGGAAAAAATTAATATATTTTTAATTAATTTTAACTGACTTTTTAACAATTATATTTGAATTTTGTTCTAAATGTCTAAGCCTCTCTACATTATAGTATGTAATAATCTATTTCGAACATGATTATGTTATTAGAAATCATTAAAGTTCTACTTTTTAAATTAGACCTGCTAGTTCGATGTATAATATGATTCTGTGTATTGTACAACAAGTGTATCTAATACTACTGACGATATTCGTTTCACCTTTGCCATGTTTCCGGGGTATCTGACTCTTCCTTTGGTGTTTCCTCTAGAGATTCTAATTCTTTAACGAGCTCGTCTACCTCTCCACCAAAGCCCTAGTCATGTATCATTTGTACACTTATTATCTAGAGCATGATGTTCATATAAGAATAAAGACTCCCCTTCTGAAGAGGTAAAACTAAACTCTTAACTTTTAAACTACTTTATTATAATTATGATATCACTAGCAAAGTGAAAAGACTTTACAAGAATTAAAATGATTAAGGAAACAAATAAACATATCAAAAGTAATCATAAAAGTGATACTGGTTTTTGAAATTATATTATTCACGTACACTCAACGCAAACATCTATGTAAATATGTATGGCAAAATGTCAGGCTAGGGTTCGGGATAGGGTAACTTACAGTGTTTCTTCCACACGTTGTTCTCCGGGGGGGGGGGCACTTGAAATTTGAAATTTACGGGGGGGGGGGGGCAGTATACTTTCTTCGAGGGGGGGCGGACACTGTTAAAAGTATATATTTTCTATATAAATTTCATTTCGTTCGGGAGGGGGGGGGGGGCTAAGCCGCTCCCCCCCCCCCCCCCCCCCCCCCCCCCGAAGAGATGTCTAGAAGAAACTCTGGTAACTTACATCCCTGCTTTTTTTAAAACATCCTCCCCGAAAGTAATCAGTTAGTTGCAGAAACTGTTTTAATAATCGTACAAAATAATCAAGGAACTAAAACCTCAAACTAGAGATTTGTCTATTTTGTGATCCTTGTTTTATTTTTTTTTTAATGCCAATACTAACAATATTCGTATAAGTAAATGTATGTAGGTGGAAAGAATAATAAAAATAATTTGATAGGGGGGGGGGGCTTTTTCTGTTTCTAGCACTACTTTGTAGCAAGTAAAGAAATTTTTATTTGGTATTTAAAAGAGTAATTTGTTAAATATCATATAATTCATATCAGAAATGTATCACATAGACACATAACAAAAACATAAATACCTTAACTAAAATAATGGCTATATCTTTTTCACATAGATGTTTAATTATTTCAAGTGTAAACTTGTCTCCTCGTAATAATATCGCACATTCAAAAAGACCTGAAATAAAGATGGTTGCAATTCAGAAAAAGAATATATAAAGATATAAGAACATAATTAAAGGGTCTTGTATAATGTTAACAATACAATGTTACCGGCTAACGTTAAAAATACTCAAAGCAACATTGCAGATTGTATAGGTATAACCGTCGGTCAAATCAAAGGCCAGATCAAGTCAGGTCAGGTCCGGCATGGTACGGTGCGATACAGTACAGCACGATGTGGTGTGGTTTGTGTTGTGGTGTGGTTTGGTCTATCTGATCTCTCTTGTCGCCCCCCCCCCCCCCCCCCCGACACACACACACACCTCCCCATGGAAGAAATTCTGTCCAATAGTCTTCAAACAAAAGTCATTCACTCACCTTCCGCGTCACATGGCACAAATATTTAACCATACAATCTATATCGTACCAAAGACAAATAACACTTGTTCTGCTAACAGCGAGGGTGGGGGAGTAGAACGTGTGCATAACACGGGTGACATAATTTATGCTCCTGGCGATAAAGTTAAAAAACAACCAAGCAACTGTAAAACAATTAATTAACTATTAAGACTTTACCATCTCTTTTTTCGCTAGAGCTTTCGCTAGTTAGAGAATCGTAGAACAAGTGATATTTTATGTAAGGATTCACAACTGCATTTTTTCCTCTTGAATGCTTACAGTCAATTGTATATTCCCGAAACTGTTTGTCGTCCTGAAAAAAATATTTAAATTTCCTTTTAAGAAATTAAAAATGCATTAATAGATATTACAAGTTGCATTTTGCCATCTTGTTTTCATGTAATGAAACATCATTCTAAGCGTAATTTTTACCATGTATTCTTTGTATCATGAATTATTTCTTCATCTTATTCGTAAAATGTTCATAGATCAATGTTCAACGACCGTTTTAAAGTGACTTATAATTAATTGTAAGGATTCTTTAGTTAATTTAGTGCCACATATCCCAAAATAATAAAACAGCAATACTTGCGTAAGTGAGAAAGAGAGAGAGAGAGGGCCTCCTAACCTACGTAAAGTCAGCTGCTCTCCTAAACTTACAAATATTGCGAATTCATGCCTCTTTCAACGCCTAGACATGTAAGCGGGTGAGAGGATTATTAGTTTTATTTTGATTTTTTTTTTTGCTATGTATTCAATTGTTCCATCTTTTCTTTTGTAACAAAGTTTGTTAAGTTGATTATCTTTAGCTTTTTTTAGGCTAAGGTTAGATGTAAATTCAGAAAATAGGTTTTTAGACACACCCCATCCCCCCCCCTGTTGTCTGGGTTTACATAAATGTGTGGATGATGTGTGTGTATGTGTGTGTGTGTGTAAAGCTACAAATATCGCAACTGATAACAATGTACTTGGTTGTGACATAAACACGATGTTGTTGCGTAACTGGTATGACTAAAATAGAGGCGGGGGGGGGGGAGAGAGTTTAGGGGGCGCTAAAATGGGTTGGAAAAATAAATTGAAAGGTTGAGGGGTGCAAATCGAAAGTTTGAGGGGGGGGATGCAAATCGAAATCTTGAAGTGGGGTGCAAATCGAAACCTTGAGGGGGGTGCAAAGAGTATATAAGAGTACGTGCGCAGAAACCATCGTGACAGATAGGCTGATAGACAGAGAACGACTTTGTTCAGAGATCGTGTGACGACGGAGAGAGTTAACTCATAAAGAATATTTTGAGTACGACCCTCGAAGATTGAACGCAGCGTCAGTAGAACGTGGTATACGATATGTTACAGTGTATAAACGCGTGACACATGAGGTCTTTTCTTATCATTATTCTTCGTTCTTAATTTTTAGTGTTGGGAGGGATCGAGCCTTATCTGCCAGAGGGTTTTTACTCGAGACTTTTTTCGAATTTATCAACCATGAGCTTTGCCGACCATGCTTCCATCACAATTAAGGATTACGTGCCAACTGGTTATGCGCCATTGAGGCCATTGACTCCGATTTCAGCCTGCTTTGCTTTTTGGATTTGCTTCCATAGCCTTTGTCCAACCAAGAACAAACTACAACGCAGCAGTTGTTTGATTTTGGAGTTGTCTCTCCTAGAAGAGTGGCTGTCCCCAGCTAACGAGCCTCATCTGCCCCAGGGTTCGAACTCGAGACTTTTCGGTTTAGCAACCATGAGCTTTACCGACTCGACCACGCCGACCCACATGAGGTCTGTTGATTTTCATGGTTTTATTTTGGAATTGTGATGAAAACATAAAGTCTTGTAATTAAAAGTAGTTAAATAAGCAGAGTTGAATACCAAAGGAGCCTGTTTTACTTTTCCTTAAAGCATCTCATGGAGATCCGTTGTCGAATGTTGCTGATCACTAGAAAATTAAACTAATTTTAATGAACAACCTGCTTCGTTTCTTCGTGTACATCGCAGTATGCGTCTTTATCATAAGGCCACCTCGTCATGCCAATCACAGCTAGTTGATCTTTGGATGATATCCTATGGATGTCAACGGCGTTGCCGACATAGTTGAACAGCTCTTGGTCGTTACCATTGACAATCAGCCAGGAATCTATCAAACAGAAAAGTCTTTCAAGTTCTCTGTTGATTACTTTTTTAAAATCAATGTTGATTCGAAAAAATGCATTAAAATGGAACTATTAGTTTTCAATCAATATTATAATATAGACGAGTATTTTTAAAAAATCCTTTGACAGTGGCATAGCTGGGGGGAAGGGCAGCCACAACGATTGCCATCCTTAGTGGTGCAAAGATGTTTATAGGCTCTTTTACGCTGTGTTACTTAGTATACACCGTCGAATTCAAGAAACAAGACTGCTTTAACCAAAACCAACTTTATAGCATGAGAATAAATTGTGTTAAGGGTTAAAAGTTTATAAATTTATAACATGTTTATAAAATTTAAGTTATAGTCGCCGACAATATAAAATATATTTTAATAAATTTATTCAAGATTTTAAAGAAAATGCGTCAAATTTGAGGAAACAATAAACTTTTTATGTTATGAGAGAAGCCTTAGGATATTCATATAAATCAGATTTATGAGCTAGGTCGTCAGTTTAAAAAAAAAACACAAACCACTGACATCCACTGCATCGATGATATCTCTACAAAAGTGTCTCATTTTTTGTATGGCAGGGTGGAGCTTGTTCTGTTCTTCCACTGTTTCTCCCAAAGCTGTCACCAACCATAGGATGAGCTAAGGAGAATTTAATTTTAGAATAAAGCCTTAGTTAGGTGCAAGTCACATGATGACAAGTTTCGTTAGATGGAAATATTAACACAGCTAAGAGAGAAAACTCCAAAACAAACACACAAAAATAATGCCTTGCAGTTTTTTCTTGACTGGAGAATGGTTATTATAGCAAATCCAGAAACAAAAAAAGAGTCTGAAAACAGGGTCAACACGTAACACTTTGTTGTATTGAAGAAATACCCCATCAGTATTACAATTAAGAACGAAGAAGAGAAAGAAGAATTACAAGTCATTTGTAATTATTTGAAATTTAGCAGCGGAAAAACTTGCCTTTGGATTCTTTTTTAGTTTCCATTTCTCTTCGTATGTTTCTGTTTTGATTCTTGGTAAATATATTTTTCGACCTATATTTGGACTACTCTGAAAAATTGAGTGTTGGAGTGTTTTATTTAAATTTTGTTAAGGTTTTTTTTTAATGTGAGACCTGCATTCTTAAATATATGTTGCAAAATATGAATTAGAAAATTATGTTATGCGTTTACCTGATCAGTTTGCTCAGTCTTGTCTTGTGGTTTCGATATGATAAAGCGATGAAACTATTGTTGTAGTTAGAAATGACATATGGTTAATGAATACACTAAATTTTATATATATATATATATATATATATATATATATATATATATATATATGTGTGTGTGTGTGTGTGTGTACGTGTACGTGTACGTGTACGTGTACGTGTACGTGTACGTGTACGTGTACGTGTACGTGTACGTGTACGTGTACGTGTACGTGTACGTGTGCGTGTACGTGTACGTGTACGTGTACGTGTACGTGTACGTGTACGTGTGCGTGTATGTGTGCGTGTACGTGTGCGTGTACGTGTGCGTGTTCGTGTATCTTTACCTGCTGTACCTGTACCTGTGTCTGTGTCGGTGTATGCGTATGCGTATGCGTATGCGTATGCGTATGCGTATGCGAATGCGTATGCGTATGCGTATGCGTATGCGTATGCGTATGTGTATGTTTATGTTTATGTATATGTATATGTTTATGTATATGTTTATGTATATGTTTATGTATAAGTATATGTCTGTGTTAGTGTGTTATTGTCTGTTATTGTGTGCATGTGTGCGTATTCGTGTGGGCGCCTGTGTGCGTGAGAGTGTGTTTGTGTATGTTTGTGTGTTTGTGTGTGCGTGTGCTTGTGCGTGCGCTCGTGCGTTTGAAAGTATGTGAGTTTGTTTATGGGTTTGTTTGTCTTTTATGTATTACTACACCATTGATTCGATCGCCGTGACAGTTTAGGGAGGTATCACCGGAAACTTGCGATTTGGCACTCCGGGCATACTCTTGAGCGCTATGGCTCCTACGTCAGTTTCAAACAGTGCGATGACTTAGCATAAAAAACATTAAAGCGCGTCTGCCGTCGCCTCAGTACTGTGCGATTCGGTGCTCTGGACTATCGCGTGAGCGCTGTGGCGCACACATCCTGTGAGCACGATGGCGCCTAAGTTCGAATTAAAGACATTCGATGATTAAACCAAATTAGTGCCGTACGCGGCGCCCCTGCTGTAGTATAACTGGGGGCGTTTCTGTTTGCGTTTGCGTTTTTGTTTAAGCTTATGTTTGCTTTTTTGCGGTTGTGTTTGCGTTCGTGTTTGTGTTTGCGTTTGTGTTTCGTCTGCGTCTGTGTTTGTTTATATGTTTGTGTTTGCATTTCCATTTGCGTTATTGTTTGAATTTATGTTTGCATTTGAGTTTGCGTTTGTGTTTGCGTTTGTGTATGTGCTTTTGTTTCGCGTTTGTGTTTTATTTGCGTTTGTATTTGTGTTTGTATTTGGGTTTGTATTTGGGTTTGGGTTGGGTTTGCGTTTGTGTTTGTTTTTCGTGTTTGTGTTTGCGTTTGTGTTTACGTTTGTGTTTACGTTTGTGTTTTGGTTGTTATTGGTTGTGTTTAGGGTTAAATTAGAGTTAACTTAAAGTTAGGTTTAGGGTTATGTGTTATTTTCTCAAACGTCAATATTTGCATTACGACATCTTATTGGGAAGATTATAAATTTCCTAAGCCTAGGCAATGCCGGGTATATACTGCTTAACAAACACACAAGTCACGGTCCTTTACAGAAAGGTTATTCACAGAGGCCAGTGTTGGGCCTGGCTGGACAGCTAGTATAGTATTAAAGTGAATAGCAATATGATAAAAATCCTGCCATAATAATTTAGACATTACACTGAATCATTCTTCGGACATTGACTAGTATAAGAAATACAATATCAATCTTAAGTTCATGTGATATTTTTAAAACGTACCGGCCACTTTATATATATATAATTCATATATATATATATATATATATATATATATATATATATATATATATATATATATATATATATATATATATATATATATATATATATATATCTCACCTGCGAAATTTCAATAATGTCCTTTGTTTGAACTCGAAACTTTCCCCATTCTATTTTATCTGAAATCATTGGCATATGCGAACGGGAGGTCAAACACTGTGACGGAAAGCTGGTTCTGATATCAATTCTGTTTGTGCATAATATCGAAGGTTTCTAAAAAGAATAAATAAATTTATATATATATATATATATATATATATATATATATATATATATATATATATATATATATATATATATATATATATATATATATATATATATATATATATATATATATATATATAGTCACTTACATTTATTTCCTTGAAATCTGAAATGTCTTCAATCATTAAGATGAACAACAATATTAAACTTAAACTAACACATATTTAGCAGCTTTCACATTGAAACCACTTTAATATGGGATAAGCAAAGCCACATCAAATTACAATATTCTACTATAACTGTTAAATTCTAACAAGTTGCTGCCTAAAACGGTTTAATTAGATTTTACTTGGATCTGGAGTGGAACTACAATACCGCCAGACACTGCAACGCGTGTGGGCCCAGACCGTTTAGGGAAACCAAATCCAGCAGATGCGTAGCGAGGGGGGGGGGGGGGGGGGCTGGGGGTTCGGACCACACCGGGTGACACCATTTAGGGAGGTCACACCAAGGCAAAAAAAAATAGCAAAATATATAGAGAAAAATGATAATTCCACTTAATTAAGTGATTAATTCGAGTGTTAAATTGTCTTTTAAGGGGTGCAAATCGAAAGTTTGAGGGGGGGGGGGATGCAAATCGAAAATTGAAATTTTGTCCCCGGGAAGAGTCGCTACGCCTCTGGGGGGGGGGGGGTGACACCATTAAGTGCCGCACCGGGCGACACCCGACCTCGCTTTGCCACTGCATCCAACCATAATTAATTTCTTTTTAAATTTAATTTTCGTGCATTTTTTGCTTTAATGCTTGGTTTGTAAAATAAATACTATAGCCGTGGTTTGATTAACTCTTTTCTAGTTACCATATCACGCTCGTCCGCAAACATTAAAGACTACTACACAAACTTAGGTATAAAATGTTACATTACTTCGACACAGTTGTGTGAGTTAACCGTAGTACTTTATTCTTATATACAGACTCTACCTCTGGTTGATTGCCTCACAAATACACATGAGATATACAACACAGTAAACACACTGAACACTCAAGGGACGTAACCATGATATACCATGTGTAACCATGATATACACACAATACAAGAGACGTAACAATCACTAACCAGACTTAACATAACTTAAAAGATAAGCGGAACTTCAAATTAAAATGACTTCCGTCACTTGCTGCTCCTCTTTAACAGCCAAATGGGGTGCACGTACCTCGTTCACAAATTGGTATTACATCTGTTCGACCACACCACCAATTTGTGCTGTGGCGGGGATGGAGAAGGGGGTCAGGACCAAATATTGGGCCCGAAATTGTCGCCAAATTTATTTGTTAAAAAAGATTTTTATAATTGTATTTTCGTTGCTGTTTTTTTTTTCTTTAATTTGTGAAGGCCGAGTTATCTTTCTACTACAATCAGACACACGCTGTCGTTAGCAAAATTCTTAGGAAGAAGTCCATAGCTCAAGAAGCAGTAAGATATGTAGTGGACTTACGTTATGTACGATACCTTGTGTAGTGTTGGTTAAGGACCCAAATCGATCGTACATTTTTAAATGTAAAATGTACGTTTGTTAAATTGGTAGTATTTTCCCGCACTATCATTTATCCTTCGGTTTTATGTACTTTTACTTGTTTTTGCTTTTACAAGAAATGTGTCATTTGTTTAAATATTTTTCCATGTGACGGCGCCCCATGGAAAATGTGTGATTTAGCGCCCGGAGATCACCAATGTGTTTCTTAGCACCTGAGATCCGGTTATTGTATGTCCTGCACGGAGGAATAGGTGTACTTCTTGAATCATCAGTCAGGCTGCATTAGGGGGCTCCACTGGCAGCCGTGTCATCCGGAGCGTATCACATTTGAGCAATTTGCCCCCACAGTCGTTTAAGAGTGCACACTACACTAGGGATAAGGCTATTTACTACATTCAATAACCAGGGATTGCACCCATCACCCGTGCTGTAATGTAACCGGTAGTTCAAAGGCGCCCCTAACAACTAGGCCGTTGCCAGGGATGACAGCACACCGTGGAGCCTCACTGTGATAGACTGGACAAACCCGCGCCCCAAGAACTAATTCTTTTCTGGAAAACAAGATCACACGTCCGTGAAAACCCCATAAAAAGTCCTAATATCTATATACATACATATATGAAAGTTAGGACCCGGGCTTGGAACGGGCCTAGTAGTAAGAAGGTTCACAGACGCAGAAGAGTTTAAGTGGGGATGGACTACACTAAAGGATGGCGTGGTCGAGTGATAGAGCTCGCGATTGCTAGCCCGGCGGCTGGGGTTAGTGCCAGAGTTTCTTCCAGGCATCTCTTCAGAAAGTCTACCTCCCCCCGAACGAAATAGAATTTATATAGAAAATATATACTTTTAACAGTGTCCGCCCCTCCCCCCCCCCCGAAATTTTAGTCCGCCCTCTCCCCCCCCCCCCCCACAGAAAATTTCAAGTGCCCCCCCCCCCCCCCCCGCAGAAAAAAGTCTGGAAGAAACATTGGTTAGTACTCACTTCATTTACTGAAATCAAGAAAATTGTGAACTACTTCATCTGCCCAAATTGACATTATTTTTATAAAAGTTAACTTACAAAAGTTCCGTGGTATTTCTTTCCGTTTTCTTCTCCCATGTTCACCTTTTCTACTACTTTCAGCAAAAAAATCTGATCAAATGTTTAACGGTGCGCAACTTGCATCTGTCATTCTTCTGATTGTATCCTATTTTTTTTCATAACATTAGCCAGGATACAACAAATGATATGAGACGATAGTAAAGTATTATAAATTAATATTCATTAACAGCATTTATTATCTAATACATTAGTAATTAATTATAGAAAACGTAAAATAAAATATCTAAACCTCTCGAATTCCTGAAAACTATATTTTATTTGTACTTACAACATCAGCATAATCCAGCGATTTTAATAGAACTGAAACACCATTCTATAATAACAATTATGTTCTTTTAATGCTAGTTCAGTAAGGTGAATATAACCATAGATGGAGACAAACATATTTACTATACTTTATATTTTTCTACTTGCAGATACCTAATAATCACGTCAAATCTCATCGACGATAAATATCTTATAGTGAACTTTAAGAGCGTAGAATAAATTGCACTTCAAACTATATCTTTATTCCAAATGATACATTTCTAAAACTAAATTTATTATATCAAATTAAATAATAATATATAGAAACATTTTAATATATAAATAGCCTAAATATTATATATAAGTATAGCTTAAATTCGCACCTTCAGGATATCTGCTATGGTTATGAAAAAGTCACCTGTTGACCTGGGTTATGCTTTATCTGTAGAAAGATCTTTTACGGCGAATAACGGCGCGGCCCTAAAACGCTTCGATGAAAAGCTTTTCAAAACGAGTTTAATTGTTCACTCAATTCAAGTTTCGGTTCTCGTGTGTCGTATAACGCTGCGTGTCGTAACAGGTCTCCTCGTACGTGTTACGGCATGCACTGTCAATGAGTGCTAGTGACTTAAACCAAGGTATTAAATGATTTAGTATTCATTTTTTAATGATTTTTTTATCAATATAAGAGCATAAAAAAGATCCGTGTTTAAAAGATTACTGCCCAAATTAAAAATAGATTTTATGAATGTAAAGGATTAAACTTTACTTGTTTGCTTGATATACAAAAACGTCTACAATTTGTAATAACTTGTTTAACATTCGAATTATTTCTTTTTTCAATTTGTAGTTATTGATGATTTAAGATAACTTAGATTCAATTTTAAAAGTAACCTTATACAAACCTATTTATTTTTTGTTAAGCGGTAGCTTCTTTCCTTTATGTCAAAAAGCATGAAATATAAAACAGAATGAAACGTGTATCATTACTTTTTTCTCTGCATCGGCTAGTAGCATAATAATACTAATAAAACATAAATGCGAAAAAAATCTGATTTACATATTAATCAAAAACATTTAAATTGGAGAAACTTTTGCGCTTTTTGTATACATTAGGTCGACATTTGTAAATGTAATCAAAATTATATAGTTTTAACGGTTTAACAAACGTTGCTCAACAGCCAGGGAACAACAGCCTGTAAAACTATTATTCCATTTCCATGTATTACACATGATTTCATCTTCTAATGAAATCCTGTGTTCAGTAATTTAGTCAATATATTCACCCAGTGGATCCAAACTCTCCAAATGATCGCCAATCATTTATACTTGCATTGATAATTTACCAGATTACAAAACAATGGTTGCTTTATTGATGTTCTGTTATTAGGAATATAACCTACTTTTATATTACATTTATCATTATAATACTTATGCTTTATTGTAAATAAACCGGGAGCTATCTCCCCTAAACTTTTTCGAATATTCTTATATAAAACAACAGAGTATTGGGAACTCGGGATATAGTTATGATTTTTAATCCGTTTTAAATACTTAAACTTTTTAAAATAGAATAGAATCTCATAGAAAAAAAGAATTGCGCACCAAGCGAACGCCGAAAAAAGATGTGTATAATAGTGCGGAATATTATTAGTACTTTATAAATTAACATGCGTTTTTTGAGAAATCGGAAATAGTGAAAACTACTACTTCCGGTCAACGGAAATTACTCAAAATCTGACAGAAGGCAGAAAATTAGATCTTTTACTTACATTTAAAATTTTATTTATCTATCTGAAATAGTACTCAAGTTATAGGCTTTTGAAAAATTCAAAGTAGGAAAAGTACCATTTCCGGTTATCGGAAATCGCTCAAAAGTTGATATGGATCTACGATTTTGATAAAATACATTTTTTTTTAAATTTCATCAACCTAACTGTAACGGTACTCAAGTAATCGTGTTTACACACAGACGGACAGACAGACAGACAGACACACATACACACACACACACATACGGACAGATTTGCAAAACTATGTTTTTCCGACTCATGGGGGTGTAAAACGTCGAGATTTGCAAAAATCTCGATTTTTTTTTTTGCACGATTACAATACTTTCTCTATACTTCGTATATACGAGAAAGTAAAAAAGTAAGTAACAATTATTTTATAATAAATTTGTGTAGCCTATATTTTTATACAAAGGCACTTAAGCCTTCTGCCTTCGTTGTGCCTAGGCCTAATTTTTTCTTCCGTTGGCCGTGTGTACTAGTTACAAGTTACAAACAGGTAAATAGCAACAGAAATTATTCAGAACCTGTTCGTCTTAACAAACCAGTTGCGCCATGATTTTGCACTGCTTGAATGCAGTAGTTCGACCATCCCCCACCCGTCTCTACTATGTGTTATTGACTTCACATAACCTTGGCGGTGTTTTTTTTTATTTATTCAATGTGTAGTCGCATTTATGTCGAAACTCTAAGCAATACATAGGTGTAGCCACGATTAGTCTATCACGTAGTCAACACGTCCAGTTGTACGCCACAAATGTTTTTTTAACCATTTGCCTCAATTCACATGACCGTGGATATCTTTAATATATCACCCAGTATTAGACCCGAAAATTTCTTGACGCTATCGTTATTCTGTCTTAATTGCTTTCCCCGAACTACGCCTTGCAGTAAGTCGTTGTTAGTTCTGATATTCGTCATTAGAGTACTCAATCATCTGTATTATTATAACAGTTGTGAGAGCAAATAAAATGGTTTTTTATCATTGAGCGACACCGTCTACGATGATGCGGCTCAGGACACAACATTAACTTGGAAATCCTTTCATCACGGCTTTCCGCCTTTGACACTTCTGATATCTAACCATTCGCTTTGGTAGCAATTCTATTATTTTTTAATACCCATTTATAAAAACCGTCGCACTCCTGTCTTAACATGTCTGCGTGTCATTCTGACATTTAAAAAAAAAAATAAGCGAATAACGAAATGAAGGTTGAAATGGTTTATTGGATTGATTCTCCTGCGGGGCTAATCCTATAAGTAGTGTTCTTTATTATAAGATTGTTTTTAGTCTGTCTCTCTGACGTATTGTCTGTTTTTTTTTGTCTGTTCGTGGCAAATCTTGTAAATATATTTGTTTGCTAAAGAAAGAAAAGGTATTATTGTAAAGTTTTTTTTAGATATTTTACTTATTATAAGCTTTTATTTAGTTCACGATGTCAGCCTGTGCTTCTGTCTGTGTATGTAACTGGTTACTTCAAGTTTTTGTGGCCTGTTCTAACATGTTTATTTCCTTAAAGATGTTTTAAAATAAGGGGATTATGTCTAACGAGCCGGCCCGCGGCATAACATACGCCGCTATTTAGTTGTTGTTTTTTCTACTTTTCAGTAATTCATAATTTGTGAATTCGACAGTACCAACGCTGACACTGAAAATATTTCTTTAAAACACTATAAGTAGCTCGTTAAGGACCATAACCCCCCCCCCCCCCCATGTTTAAAATCGTTTCAAACTAAATTATCTGCCCCTAATAGCCGTCACTAAACCCAACTCCACGAAGGTAAACATAGCGTGAACCACAGCTCACTAAGATCATGTAGGGGTGGGGATGTTAGGGAGCGCGCTTGCAGCTTGTTTTCTAACGGCTCGAAGAAGAGAATTATATATATAGATGGTATGCCATATGTGAGGGTTTTTGATGGAGGGGTGGAACTTCGTAATGTCACCGGAATTGACACATCAACATAAATCGCTTGTGGTTTAATTCAGTGTATACTGATTTATTTATGTGTTCTTAGTCACAACACAGTTACTCACTTCCAACCGTGACCTCCAACTGCCATCCAGATTTATCGCCACACACCCCCTTCCTCCCGTGCGTAACACACCCGCTGTCACTCGACCAGTCGCTTCCCTTGTTAATCTCGTTCAACACACCCGTCCTCGCGCACCAGTCACATAATATATACACACACTCAGTGATCCGCCCCACGTACACATCTTTCATACACATTACATCGCCACATCCTATTTCTAATTAGATGATTCGTATGCAAATTAAATACGCCTAAAACTAATTAACTGCATAGTAATCGAATTGAATGTGCCTTATAATAATTAATTTGTAATTAATTTCAATCATTATAATTAACTTCTTCATAAGCAAAGTGAATGTTCTTTATATCTGATAAATTTTTAACTAAGCCAACAGGGTGTGTCTAACATCTGCAGTGACCTGTTACTGTCGATTCGAAAAAGGCAACCACGGATTAAAATGGTTTCTTAAGTATGCAATAGAAACTAGATAAATGGCCCGTTAAGGGAGCAATACAACGGGCACTATGTTGATAGTTTTGTCTTTTTCTCCAGACCGAAACCAAAACCAAAAGCACCACCTAAACTTCAAATTTAACTGGAAACGAAACAGTTTCATTGAAAAGGGAATTTTATCTATAAAAAGGCATTTTAAGCGGATCTGGAAATTTAACTTGAAATGAAACACCTGATAACCCCAATCTCAGTCCCAATACTAACGCTTACTATATATTATTTTTCCGGTATTTGTTTTCTATATTTACATTCACTTCTAAAATTCGACAATTAAATTTGCCGATTGATTTTTGTTGTCTCTATTGTCAATGTCCTCATTATTATTGTGTATCGTTTTCGGCATTCAATTCTTAATTCAACTTTTATTTAGCCATCAATGACGCCATTCTATTTTTTGTGTTGACGCTAAATGTAGACATTACCACAATACTTTATCTGGTAACCTTGTCTATACGTAGTTACTGCCATTGGTACTAAATATCGTCGTAGTCACATCCCTGAACCGTGCACCTAAGCTCAAACTTGACCAAAGTCGTATTCAGAGTTTCTTTCAGACAGACAGACAGAATAGCGAAACGATTATAATGATTTCACCCTTCCACTGTAATAGTTTCGCTATTCGGTAGACGTACTTCAATCAAATTTCGTTTCCTGTTTAATTTCTCCCGATTTAGCATGAATTTCCATATGCGGCCAAATTTCCGGATCTTGTCAAAATGCCTATTCTGGATAAAAATTCGTTTTATATTATATTTTTCGTCTCAGGTTAAATTTTAATTTGAGATGGGGATTTTGGTTTCAGTTTAGAGAAAAAGACGACACTATCAACGGGCCATTTTTTTAGTTAAGTCATATTTTTCGACACACTATTTGTGACAGGATAATGAATAGTTTCTAGCGGTGAAATCAGACAAACTACGAATCACTGCACATGGCAGAAATTTGTAAAGATTCCAATACTCTTGCACGCTGACAACAACGGTCAGAGAGGCTACCTGAAATGGATACCTCCGACTTTAAGCAGAGATGTGATAAATCAGATATAGACAACCATCTCCGAAGCCGACAACATTGTAAAAACCCTAAAAGTAGAGAAAGGGATCGCTGGGCTGTATATTTCTGCCCCAGTCAACGAGCTGTCCCCTTCCAACACTAAAATTAAGAACGAAGAAGAAGAACCGGCTGTCCCATTACATCCAGTTAGAGATAAGTTGGAAAACCCACACTATTCTTCTACAACTTAACGGGAGAAAAACTATCAGTCCATTACGCTCCACTACAAAACACGGACCGCCGCATGCAGTAGTCAGTTCTTCGGAGACAGGGGCAAACATCTACATAGATAGGGAGATAGGAAATACTTCGAAAGACCAAATGAACAACCGCAACCAGAAGATGAACTCGACGATAGAAACAAGACGACAAACTCATCACGTAACCAGCCTCAACACCCAACGAACTAGGGACGACTGTTGTCTGAAGAAAGACAAACTTGTTGAAAAATGGCAGCTCACGAAATAATCAGACCGAAACACATCATAGCAACCGAAACAATCCAGAGACCGACACACCCAACCACAAACGACAGAACTGGCACGAAACGAAACTATCACACCTCCCCTATCATACCCCACACACACACACCCACACCCCCCCCCACACACACACACACCCACACACACACACACACACACTGATTTCCAAGTACATCAATACAAATTGGATGAGGAAGGTAGTATAAAAAACCTCACACTCATCACTCTAGAGTCTAGACACTCATGGTTCTGATAAAAAAGACAAGTATATATTAGTTTCTTGCCGTCCCGGCCAGGCCCTGCACTGGCCTCTGTGAACAACCTATCTATAAAGGACGATGACTTGTGTGTTTATTAAACAGCATATACCTGGCATTGCCCGGGTTCAGGAAATATATATTAATTTTGGAATTAAAACCATTTCTACATAAATTAATTCATAACCAACAAGGTAACATCACAGGGTGGAGCATACAAAATCACAATCACGTAATCAGAAATATCATTCAGTATACACCCCAGCAGGGACGGAGTGGTCTAGCGGTAGAGAGTTGGACTGCTAACCCGTATGTCTCGAGTTCGAATCCGGGTTTAAGTCAGTAGACCGTCCCAACTCTGATGGGTACCTAACTAACGTTAGGGAAAGTAAAGGCATAGTGCTGACCACACTATCTCTTCATATGCACAGAAACCAGTGAACTCTACTTCACTTGCCCCATAGACCGTCAGGTTTGAATGGGAAATATTATATTTATGATTATTATACACCCCAGCATGCACACGCAGCAACCCACACAGCAACCTACTGATAAATATTACATCTCACAGACAAGGATGTCCCCTCTTAACAGTCCACTACATACTAACATTACAACCCATTTTAGAAAGCATTTATTATTTTAGCTCAACAGAGAAATCGGAGGAATAGACTTACCAAACTTAACAAACAAAAAATTCATTGTTACAACTGTAATAAAGATCTCGCTTATCCCCCCCCCCACCCCCCACCCTACCCCCATTCTAGCTCAGTGTTGGAGGCATTAAACATAACAAAACGCATAGATCTAAGTACTGAGTTGTATACAATAAGAAGAATTTTTAAAAATCTAACAACAAAGATTTTTTTTTCAAACTAACTTTTATCAAACACTCCAAGTCTCTAATTTTTTTCGGATTAAACGGACCATTGTTCGCCTTGTTTACCGCTTCTGTGTGATGTTTAGTGCACAAACCAGTAGACAACAAGCGGTTTACTTGTGACTTTCTCTAGCAATGAAATATAGGCTGTCGTAAATAGTAAGGCGATAGTGATGAGGTCTAATTAGACCAATAAGGTAAAATATACAAGTGTTTAAATTTATAGGTATGTATGCTAATTAGCGATGATTACAAATGTGTATATTTGTTTTTAACATACTACCTCTTTTTAAATGGAAGATTAATCCTAAACCTATTCAGGGGGATAAAAATAACGTTATCTATACGAATATATGGTGATGTCTTATTTACATATATGCCTATATATATATATATATATATATATATATATATATATATATATATATATATATATATATATATATATATATATATATATATAGGATAAAATGCTTACATAAAACATTTACTTCCCTTTAAAAAAAATTATATGGGGGAAACATAGTTTGTGTTAGTTTGTTTTGGTGTTGGAGAAAATAATAATTATATAAATTAGTATGGATTCAAATTCAAATTCAAATTCAAATTTATTCAAACAACGGTTACAATTGTAGGCACAAAGGCCTTTTTTCACATTGGCCGTTTAAACAAATAAAACAATTCAATAACACATAGCAGTAACACATAGCACTAAAAATGTGGAATAAAGAAACAATGGTACATAGCTATCATACACAATGAGATAAAAAGAGAATATAATAGATGAATGAGAAATGTTACAATGAGTCAGTTAGTTCATTAAATAATTTTAGTTTTAGTTTAGATTTGAATATATTTTCAGATCTAGATAGCTTTATTTTATTAGGAAGATTGTTCCACAAATTAGAACCAGAGTAGGCGAAGCTATGTTTTTGGATTGATAAAGTGCACTGTTGTAGGTAAAACACGGATATTTTAAATACTGCCTTTTGTTTATTTTATACACTTAACTAATTATTATTTTTAATTAATAACAGCATATACACGGCATTGCCCGGGTTAGGAAATATTCTGCTTTCAAATTACCCCTAACCACAACCAACCAAAAAAACGCAAACAAAATACAAATGCAAATGCAAACACAAACGCAAACTTAAACACAAACAAAAACGCAAATAATAACGCAAACACAAAATCAGACAAAAACACCAACGCAAACATAAGCCTAAACGCAAACGAAACACAAACATAACGCAAACACAAACCTAAAGGCAAACAATAACGCAAAGCATAAAGACAAGCTTAAATGCAAACATAAACTCATAGTGCTAACAGTATAGCACGGGACGCACCCTTTCTGTTCGCCTTTGGAACCGCCTGATTCAACTTAGTAAACGTCTATAATACCCCATCTTGTCAATAGTCGATTGAAGTCATTAAAGCGAAGATAGGAACCAATTTAGTGCACGACTATTATTCTTTATCATATCCTCAAACGGAAAGATAAAAGTTTACATAGAGGTCATTAATTTAGATAATAAACACTTTAGGTATATTACACTATGGCGATCAAGGTTTTTTTAAGCAAATTCGTTTATACCACGGGTCCGTCCATTCGCTGTCCACTGTCACATACAGAATTGAGCCTTATATATTAGACTAGCCGTCCCGGCCAGGCCCTGCTCTGGCTTCTGTGAAAAACCTTTCTGTTAAAGACCATTACCTGTGTGTTTAGTAATCATCATAAACCCGGCATTACCCACCCAAACCACAACCAACCAAAACAACAAAACGCAAACATAACGCTAACACAATTACAAATACAAACGAAAACAAAAACCTAACAACAAACCCAACCACAAACACCAATACAAACACAAAGAAAAACAAACAAAAAAGCAAACGAAAACAAAAACCTAACAACAAACCCAACCACAAACACCAATACCAACAAAAAAAAAAACAACGAAAAAGCAAACGAAAACAAACCAAATCCAAACGCAAAACCAACCAAAAACACAAATACAAACCCAAAGAAAAAAACACAAACAAAAACAAAAAAGAAAGAACAAAAACGAACCAAATCAAAACGCAACCACTAACGCAAACCCACCTAAACACAAAGAAAACACTAACGCGAACATAAACGCCCGGGGCGGAATCACCTGTTTTAGCTTAATGAACGACTATAGTACCCCAACTTATTCACAGTCTTTTGCACTCACTTAAACGAACGCGCCTGTTTCAATTTAATAAACAATTTTAATACTCCAAGCTTATCCGTAAAATACCTACAACATTTGCACTTGATCAATCCCCGCTAATTATGTAATTATTTTTTTTCCCAACACCAAAACAAAGTAATTAAAAAGTAAATTATTTTCACGGAATGCAATGGGTTTATAAAGGGAAGTAATTGTGTATTTCCTAATTTATCAAAGGGAAGTAAGTGCTATAGGACTAAATAAAGACATAATTAGAATTTTTGTAAAAGATGATATTTTTTTTAAAACTTGTGTTTAATGAACATGCCGACAATTATTACTATAATTTGAAAAATGAAAATTATTTCCCAACACTTTCAATGGTAATTTTTTAGCTCATAAATTTAGACAAATGCGCACGCTAATTTTCTAACTTTTAAATTCGTACAATTCCAACGATATACAAATGCATTACATACAGAACTGAGCTTTATATATTAGATAATATCAATGTTCATTGGATTGCGAGAACATACATTGCTCAAATAAAATATTAATTATGCCCTATATGTAACTACGTGTGTCTACAAATTACTGCTATAATCTCGCTTATCTCCTTTAGTACTCTAACCATGACAGCTATAATCTCGCTTATACCCTTGGTACTCTACACAATGTAGTAATGATCTAGTAGCTTATCTCCCTTAATACTCTGCACAATGCCTTTATCATTTCGACTCCCACTTTAAACATGACATATCTTATCATAAACCAGGGGACTGGGGGGAAATATGTATTAAAAATAAAGCAGCAGATTCCTGCAACTCTATACATGGAACCAAACATGTTCCTTGATTCTATTGTAGAAGTACCCTCTTGCGTTTATCGTAGAAGTGACATGCCATTGTACAGAAACTGTAAATAGCATTTGCCACTACAAAGCTAGATAACTCCTATATCTCGACTCTAATGTTAGATAACTCTTCCGTTTCAACTTCAATGTTAGATAACTCTTCCGTAATAGCTTCAATGGTAGATAACTCTTCCGTAATAGCTTCAATGGTAGATAACATGATTTAACTTCCTTGATAGATAACTTACGTTTTAACTGGATTGTTAACTGAAATATTTAATACGAGCCGAGCAGCGGCGTAGACTTCCTGAATGACACAATTGTCCAAATGGGGTGGGTGGGTACACACACTGTTGCGCATGCCTTGAGAGCGGGGGAGGGGGCGGGAGGAGGGTTAGAGAGTCGCCGTGCGTGTGCGGTGTCCCGCATGGTTGGGTGACGTAGAGAATTATATGTATAGATGATGTTTCCTGCAACAAATAGGTTAATCTTAACATGTAATAGACAAATAGTAAATGTATGTAGCTACTCTACGTCAGGTTAAAGACCACAACATAACAATTTCAATTGTCTACAAATATAGCAATATCCAATAAATGATAGTTTGGGTGACTGATGCTTTGTACCAGTGGTGTGGAGGGGGTGATTTGAATCACCCTACCCCCCCCCCCTCACGTTAGGGAAAGTAAAGGCGGCTGGGCATAGTGCCGAGGTCACAGAAACAGGTGAACTCTACTTCCCTTTTCTCATAGACGGTCAGGTTCGAAGGGGGAACTTTACTTTTTTACTTTTACCCCCCCCCCCCTCCTAAACCTTACATAAAGCTGCCTTACGCTAAGTCACAGTTATTGGCGATGGCACGTGATGGCGTGGTCGGGCAGTACCGTGCACGACTGCTATCCCGGAAGTCTGGAGTTCGAATCCCGTGTGCGAGTCTTCCCATCTCAAATAGGTACCTGACTCAGGTTACAAAAAAGTGGCTGGGCAGGGTGACTGAACTAACTATCCGATTATATGCTGCGGTCACATATATTCATCTGCTGTCACAGTTTTAGACACCCCTCTGCCAATGCCAATGCCTATTATTAGCTTATAATTGTAAACTATCTATGTATAAAAGCATCGATAGTTTGATATGTATAAGGCTGATGTATAAAAGCGTGTATAGTCTGATAAATGCGAAAGGATGCGACGAGTGTTAATCATTGACTTTTCATACAAGAAATCAATCAAAATCCATAACAGCGAAGAAAATGCTTTCGTCTGCATATTCCACTGGCATCGATCAATAAATCACCCAATCAGGCAACGTGGTCTGATGGCCGCGCGCCAAACAGCTGCTCACGATTAACTGTGAGTAACTTCCCCTAAAAAAATTAATCACATTTTAATAATTAGTTCAACTCGTTTGAACGTATGTTCACTATAAGCAATCGTCTATAAATGGTCTGTAAATTGTTTATCGCTCCTACCCCCACCCCGCCCATCATCCCTTGAGAGCATAAAAACTCGGCACCCTTATAATTTTTACTGTTTCGTATACAGACTAGAGAGTAAGTATTGTGCGTGTATGCGTGCGTGCATGCGTGGGAACAAGATAACTTGATAATTGTTTCAGTTAGGTAGACGAAATTTCGTATATAAGAGAAGATCATATACCTGAATCAATTTTTGTTTGACTTCCGATATCCGGAAGTAGTACTTTATTTCTGGTTTCATACATACTAAAATACGAAACAGCTTGACAACTGTTTCAGTTGACTAGATGAAATTTCATACATATGTATGATCTTATTCTCTGTTAGTTTTCAGTTGGATTTCGCTTGATTTCCGGTGAACGGAAATAGTACTTTACGCTGTTTCCGTTTTTCTTTTTCTTAAAAAATGTAATACATTTTTCATTTAGAAAGTACTCATTCTCCCCTCTATTATAAACATACTCTTCATTTGGTGTGTAATTATATTTTCTGCGCGATTCTACTCTGTTTAAAAAAAAATTAAACAAAAAATTAATTTCAAAACCCATCTCTGTAGCCCTGGAATTGCCATATCACTACAGTTACAAAAGAATATAAAAGAAAATTCAGGGGAGATCACTATAACTTTATTTAAACTGATATGGTTCCTTGGATGATATGGGGGCACTAACTGTATGAGTAAATACAGTGGGAATTTAAAAGCAAGATTTGAGGTCTAACTGGCAGACAGTGTAGAATACACCTGCTTTTTGCGATGGACAGAGTACAATGTACATCCACCTTGCCCTGTCTAGATCTAGAGGGATCCTATATCGACATTCAAACTATTAAAAATAATACACTTAAATCTATACACTTGTTTCTATATTGTTAATTTTAAAGCATTGTCATCAAAACTGCTTTAAAGTTTAAATCTATAATCACCTAGAAACTCACCTAACATGTTTTGCATCTCATACGACACTTAGAGTTTTCTCGTAAATTTCCAATTCCACGAAAACCAATCAATACATTGATTTCAACTTATTGCGAACCGACGAATCGATAATGGATTGAACTGACTTCAATGTCCGACTTCAAGGACAGAAATAACCGTTTGATGCTTATAAATAAAGACCCGTCAATGATGCAAGTTTTGAATGCTAAATCCATTCCCGTTACCAAGCGCTGGTAAACAATATAGACGCAGCTCCGTGTGTGACCTTGACACAATCTTTCTCAGAAACGTGCTGTCGATTCCATCTCATGCAGGGGCGTATGTAACGAAGATGTTAATGTGGGTGTTGTATTTTAAAATCTGGACGTTTTACACCTCCCTGAGTCGGAAAAACATAGTTTTGCAATCATGTCCGTATGTCTGTGTGTATGTGAGTGTGTGTGTGTGAGTGTGTGTGTGTCTGTGTGTGTCTGTGTGTCTGTAACAGTGGCGTAGGCAGGGGGGTTAGGGGGGGTCATAACCCCCCCCCCCCCATAGACCCCTCGGTATATATATAAAAAATCGATCTTTTTCCAAGACACGTGGGACAGATGAAGTAGAGTTCACCTATATCAATAACCTCGGTATGCAATGGAATAACGTGAGTTAGGTACCCATCAGAGCTGGGTGGATTCAGTGACATTGTCGGTTGTTTACTGGGTTTTATTTATATTTTCTGGTACAGCAAAAGACTTTATTTTAACTGAATGGTTGCCAACGATACAAAATCCGGACACATTAATTTTCGGAGGTGATAGTGGAGCATTTAATCAATAGTTTAGGAATAAAATTAAAATTTTAAAATTATTTTTACTATGCATTTTGTTAATTAAAGATTTTATTTTTTTATTTATTTTAATATAAGGAACTTAGACTTAGCAATCCTTCGGGCAACGGAAGTAGAGTTCATACATTTCTAAACCTCGGTGTATGAAGTGATAATGTGGTCAGCACGTGACCCAGCCGCCTTTACTTTCATCAACGTAAGCCAGGTAATCATCAAAGCTGAGTGGACTTTAGGACTTCCTACAATTAAAAGTCCAGAGATCCGAACTCGAAACTTGCGGGCTAGCAACCAAACGCTCTACCATTCAACCACACAACCCCACCTCCTCTAACAAAGTAATAAATTGAGTTATTTCCGAGATAAAACACGACAGGTATTCTGCGTCTGGTGAGTCAATGCACCAAAATATTAAATGTCAGTAAACTGGGTTAGCACTGCATCTCTCATCCACGCTTCTGTTTTAGTAAGTCTTTTTTACCCAGCTGAACTGTTATAAACTACAGCTTAAAGATCAATAATATTGAAGCTGCTGTTCTCTTATTCGCCGTAATGTTCAATAATTGTTGCAGTGTGAACGTATAGGATGAGGGGATAAAGATGGTGTATAGTTAATAGTTTAACAATCAACAGCCGCATGAGCATGGTGTAATGTTGGATGACGTCGTACTTTGTGAAAGGACTGCAAGAATGATTAGTGCAAAATTATTCTGACTAAATAAGAATGGTAAGTCTTCAACTACCACCAAGTCACGAATGTTATAATATATATATATATATATATATATATATATATATATATATATATATATATATATATATATATATATATATATATATATATATATATATATATATATATATATATATATATATATATATATATATATATATATATATATATATATATATATATATATATATATATATATATATATATATATATATATATATATATATATATATATATACATATATATATATATATATATATATATATATATATATATATATATATATATATATATATATATATATATATATATATATATACATACATATATATATATATATTGTGTGTGTGTGTGTGTGTGTGTGTGTGTGTGTGCATAAATTTACTTATAAACATTTTTTATTCATTTTTCGACGTGCCTAGTAATATTATCTATGTTCGCTTTTTTGGTTGGACGTAAAGGCGCCCTGGTACCTATATGAACAATCACAGGTATCATAGGTATTGAATTGAAAAGCAGGTACAAAAAAACGCCATAAACATAATGATCATAGTAGTAGCCTTATTACGATGTGGTTGAGGAAGATTACACAAAGTACAAAGCCTAGGCACAAAGGTTTGAATCCATCCAGCTCTGAACGTATCAGTAACTGGGTCTGGTGCTCATTTTATCAACGTTCTATGTCTATAAAGTCATTTTATACAAAAGATCTATACGCCTACTTTTGAAATATTCAGTGTTGACTAAATACAATTTCCATTTTTTTATTTTAAAATGAACCGGGAGTGATCTCCCCTAAACTTTCTCGAATATTCTAATATAACATTACGTGGGATGGCAACTCGGAATATAGACATGATTTTTGTTGAATTAAAGTTTTAAAAATAGTAGAAAAAATAATTGCGCACCAAGCGAACGCCAAAATAAAATGTGCATAATAGTGCGCAATATTATTAGTATTTTATAAATTTACATGCGTTTTTTGAGAAATCAGAAATAGCGTAAATTAGTACTTCCGGTTAACGGAAATTACTCAAAATTTGTCAGAAGGTAGAGAATTAGATCTTTTACTTACATGTGAAATTTCATTTATCTGTCTGAAATAGTAATCAAGTTATAGGCTTTTGAAAAATTCAAAGTAGAAAAAGTACCACTTCCGGTTATCGGAAATCGCTCAAAAGTTGAAACAGATCTACGATTTTGATAAAATACTTTTATATAAAATTTCATCAACCTAGCTGTAACGGTACTTAAGTTATCGTGTTTACACACACACACAGACACACACACAGACACACAGACATACGGACAAGATTGCAAAATTATGTTTTTCCGTATCAGTGAGGTGGAAAACGTCGAGATTTGTAAAAATCTCGATTTTTTTTTGCACGATTACAAGAATTTCTCTATACTTCGTATATACGAGAAACTAAAAATGAAAGATATTCCATTTGATATCTAATAACAAAATATTTATAATATTTATTTTAATCTGACATTAAACGTTTGAGGCCCCTTGAGCAAAAATGATTGAGAATCCCTAAAGAGAATTCATTGTTTTCTATCTGAGAAAACGAAAGCCATTGTAGCGTGGCAAGAACCTCTGCGCCTCATAACTTTGAGTCTGTACATGCTCCTAGAGATCGATCTCAGGCACGCTAAAACTTGTCTGTATCTTTTGTCTTAGATCGGCCGAGCCTTACCGCAGGTTCAATACACATCAATACTTGCTTCAATATGGGAATTATTGCCTGCATTTTCCTTCAATGAATACTTGGCGCATTTTCCCTAAATTAAGGGAAAATTGTCAAGATCTTTGTTTGGTGGTTCCTTATCGCTTATAAATGGAATCTTGTTCGTTTAGAAATGTGTTTTACTTTAAAGGCGATGGGGGTCGTCCATAATCCACGTCACGCTTCTTGAAACGATTTCTATCTCCCTCTCCCCATTAATACATATCATATAAGAACATAAGACACCCCACCCCCCCCTCCAGCTTAAACTACGTCACACTTTAACCAACTACCTCCCCCCCCCACACCCATTCTTCTCTCCCATATATCAATATTAAATTTGTTTTTTGTTTTTAATTATTACCTGACCTCGGTCATGAATTTTAATTACAATTTCACAAGTCTTTTAAAACTACAAAATGCCGGCTACAATTCAGATTAAAAATCTACTTTTAAAATGGAAATTATGACGTTACACTTTTCTGATCACTCATATTAAGATATATATATAGAGATAGCAATAATCAATTCGATTTTTTTTCTACAGATTCTACACTACTTACATAGATGTGAATTATCAAAGCTAAAAAAATAAAGACGCTCATTTTACAAGGAAGAGAAAAGTGACAATATAAGTTTTAAAATGGGGAAAAAATTAACACAAAAGTTTCAGGCTACCCTGGTAAGTCGCTTCATATTTCACTAAAGATTATCTATGTCCATGCCCATGCCCATGTCCATGCCCATGCCCATGCCCATGTCTATTGTTACGTACCCCCTTCTCTAATCCTTTCGAACTAGTCAGGGGGTCGTAAACAAGAAGAAGAAAAATAAAAATAAATAAATGCCAACTTCAGTAATCTCTATTTATTCGCCACAAATCACAACACTTAAAGTTAACCCGCCACCGAAGTACCACAATCAGAAATATACACAACTAAGTACTACAACTACAGTCCTTAATTTGACTAATCTACTTGTCCCTAACTGTCAAGCCTAGCCTAAGTCTAATACATGTCGTGGCTTTCCACTAGCTCACAGAGACGACCCATCGTCTGTCTCCTCTAAACCTAGCTATCCGAGACGTCCGTCCGTCTCCGTGTGTGTGTCCCGAGTGTCTGTCTAGAGTGTCCCTGGTCTCCTGTCTACCCTCCTAATATTCTCGAGTCGTCCCTGACTAGTGTGGGAACCTTGTTAATCGAGCCTGACCCCCAGGTCAGGTCAGGTCAGGACATGACCGTCCCATTTGGTTCCGTCCGTCCAGGACAGCTTTCCCAGCCATAAATCACGGCCTGTTGGTCGTTACCAGCCGAGTCCCCAAGACACCAGGTATGCACCGCCCACAGCGTAATCTAATCCGTGGTGTGGCCGTCAAGACCCCCAGACTCTCACGGCCTATGCTGGCCAGTGCATTAACATGCCTAAGCATTTCATTTTAATTACCTGGCCCTCCTCGATGGGACCAAACCCAGGTAAAGATCGCTTGGGTTCGTAACACTATATATATGTACATGTCCATGTTCATGTTTATGTCCATATCTATGTTCATGTCTATGACTAAGTATATGACTACGAAAACTTTCCCGTGAACTGAACTCAGTACTTCAGATTGTGTTGACTCCACTATTCCTTTAACACGGTGAGGTCATAGAAACAGATGAACTCTGCTTCACCTGTCTCGTTGAACTCTGAAAGTGCCCTTACTTTCACGTTTACTTCATTCAGCAACTGCTTTTCACTTAGCTCCTAATGTATAATAAGCTCACACAGTTCATTGAGGGTTTTTTCTTGCAATATAGTCCTGCCGCGCATCGTACATTAAACTACTCCCACTGAGCTATGCACTAACTTTGACGACGGGGGACATTTTGTTTGGAGCCATATTCTGGGCAGTTATATTTTTTAATTATTTTTTATCGGGAATAGATTATCGTTTCCCTATTTTGAGATTACTTTTGTCGAAAATTATTTGTCGGGGGTCAGATCAAGGGAAAGCCACTTTTGTGGAAACCATTTTGTCGTGGACAATTTTTGGGGGAACCGTAATGCTGATGGCTTTTGACTGTAGCCTTGTAGCGAAAAGCTATTTTCTTCGGGCCTTTAGGACTACGTGTTGACACCTATTTCCCACGTTTTCTTTAACTTGCTATCGCGTCTGTTTTTCCAATCAAATCTTGCGATCGAAATTTCGGGCACTTCCCAGTTAAAAAACGTGGGGCGCCGTGATTTTCTTACAGTCTTTAATACTGTTGACTCTCTAAAAGCTCCCTAATAAAAGTCAATAGTATTATCTAATCAATAGTAATATAACTTTCGCTTATAGTAGAGTGATCGCTTGCATTATTGTGATGTATAGCATTTATTTTCTACTTTTTAGTTCAATCAGAAAACGTGGGTTTTTAAAAACTTTTTTAATGATAATTATTTTCTATTCATGCTACGCTTTAAATTTTTTAAAGTCTTTTTTTTTACATGTGACTAAACTTTTACGTTAGAGCTTCAATGTTTGCTTGTTGTTGTTGTTGTTGTTTTTCTTGTGTGCGATGGTAAAATTAGAAGTATTGTAAACAACTTAAACCAGTGATATGAAATTGAAGTTTTTAGAAAGCAAAGAACATGGGCCTAGAATATTACCCCCTCCCCCCCCCCCCTCTATTATAATTAAGTAATTACCCGCGTGCTGGGTAATATACAGAGTATAATAGCATCTGAGAGTTATGTCGGGGGGGGGGGGGGGGGTAATTCCCATCTCCCAAAAAAAAACACGACCAGCATAGGTGCTGCATCATTGCAAATTGTAATTTTTTAAAGATATATTTAAGATATATTTTCTTACTTTGCTTTGTGAAAAACTGAAACACTTTTGATAACGGAGATCTTAACAAACCACACCCTAGTTATACGATCTTGTACTGTTCTGTTTTACTCTCTCAGAATCCGCCAATATTCTTCACGAACAAAGTGAACGTAGAGACAGTCAGAGAGGCGTATCAGTGTGTTGAACGCAAGAGAATAGCCATGAACATCGAAGACATCAGATGGGGTGAGCTAAGCTGGAGTGCAAGCAAGTCGACGGACAGTAGCCAGGTGGTTATATTCTTTAGAAATATTTACCCATGTTATATACTTAAGTTTTAACAAAAGATGAGACACATTTTAGAGCGATTTTTTTTGTGAGTGTATGTGCTAAGCGAGTCAAGTAGTCCAAATAAAGTACTAATGACAACTCCTTTTTTTCGATTTTTGGACGATTATTGCCATGTCTCCTGTGCACTAAATTAGTAACACTTCTACGCCCCAAGTAGACGAAGGTACAAAAGATAAAAATATTCATTATAAAGAGAGACTATATATATATATATATATATATATATATATATATATATATATATATATATATATATATATATATATGTGTGTGTGTGTGTGTGTATGTGTGTGTGTTTGTGTGTGTGTGTGTAGAGAGAGAGAGAGGGAGAGGGACGGGATCCCAGACTCAGACTATTATTCTACATTACATCAAATCGCCTCGCCTACCTAGAATTAGATCTGAATACTACCCAAGTCAACTTAGCAAACAAGAAGTTAACTATACGGTCCAAAGAAATAGGACAGCAGGCACTGTGACATTTGTGGGACATCATATGCGTGTATTAATTAAGAACGAGCCGACCCGCAGCGTATCATACGCCGCTATTTAGTTGTTTTATGTTCTACTTTTCAGTAATTCATAATTTGTGAATTCGACAGTACCAATGCTGCCACTGAAAATATTTGCTTTAAAACTATCAGTAGCTCGTTAAGGACGATAACCCCCCTCCTTTCCCCAACCCCTACCCCTCCCCCACCCCTCATTTCCCCAACCCCACCTTCCGCCGTAAAAGCAGCCTCCCCTAACTTTAAAATCATTTCAAACTAAATTATCTGCCCCTAATAGCCGTCACTAAACCCGGCTCTACGATTGTTAACATTTAGCGTGAACCACAGCTCATCAGACCATGTGGGGGTGGGGTGGTAGTGATATGCCTAGAGAGGAAGAGAGGGGACTGCTAGTTGCGCTTACAGCTTGGTGTTTTCTATGGTATTTAAGAACATATTGTAACATTGGTTATTAAGGAATAAAAGTCGTATATTAGATCTTCTACAAGGAATTATAATAATTTATTTTTTAAAACTCATACATTTTTATTTTTCTATTAGAAAAAATAATTTGTAGCTTAAAATTCTGTCCCTTTTTGAAAAAAATTTCAGTTTCACCGAATTATCTCAAAACAGAAAGGAAGAGACGAGGTAAATGCCTACTAGTTAAGAATATTAATAAGACCTTGATAGCTACACAAACGCGGATTGTATTAATTTTCTGATTGTGGTCATTATATTTTTTTAAAAAATTCAATGAAGACGAAAAAATCGATAGTGAGTGGGCTGACCAATTGAGTTCCCAGTATTATAAGAATAACATCTTAAACCTATTTTATAAACTTGTACAAATCTGATATATATATATGTATATATATATATATATATATATATATATATATATATATATATATATATATATATATATATATATATATATATATATACATATATATATACATATATATATATATATATATATATATATATATATATATATATATATATATATATATATATATATATATATATATATATATATATGGTTTTGTTTCCAGAGCACTACAGATGAAATAGCCAAGACACAAGAGAGTCAGAACAAAAAGAAAACGGAGGTTTTTTTACGTTACATTGTTTAAAAAAGATCAATCAGAATTTCTCTTCGGGGGGGGGGAGGGGAGTCTGGAAGAAACACATGATCAAATCAAATGATATTTTTTTTTTAAATTTTATCCAATTGTATAAAAATATGTACATGTACCCATGTGTATGGGTATAGATAAACATATGGCTACATATTTATTCTAAAAGTTTTTCTGAGTAGAGTAGTCAGACATTGCAAATAGATTTGAAACATGATGTGTGCTCAACATTGGCTTAGATGGATGCGACACTATGCATTTGGCGTTGGAAAAAATATAAAAGCTTATTTTGATCTGAATAACTGAATGATACACACTGGAAGTTTAGAATAGAATTAAGCATGGCTTTAAGTCCTTATTTAACCACGGTCTACATCGATGATAAAAGCAAAATAAATACCCTAATTGCCTTGTGCCCCTTTTTTTACTGACTAATTTAAATTGGAAGGATTTTGACGTACCCGTGTATGCCGATATCACAGAAACAATCAAACATGTAACTCTACTTCACTGGTCCAGATGGACCGTCAGGTTCAAAAAGGGAACTTTATGTGTGTGGTTTGTTTTTTTTCTTCTTCGTTCTTAATTATTAGTGTTGAAGGGGGTCGAGATTTATCTGCCAGTGGGTTTGAACTCGAGACTTTGCTCGAATTTATCAACCATGAGTTTTTTGCCGACTCGACCACGCCTCCAACACAATTAAGCGGTACGTGTCAACTGGTTATGCGCCATTGAGGCCATTGACTCCGATTTCAGCCTGCTTTTCTTTTTGGATTTGCTTCCATAGCCTTTGTCCAACCAAGAACAAACTACAAGGCAGCAGTTGTTTAATTTTGGAGTTGTCTCTCCTAGAAGAGTGGCTGTCCCCAGCTAACGAGCCTCATCTGCCCGAGGGTTCGAACTCGAGACGTTTCGGTTTAGCAACCATGAGCTTTACCGACTCGACCTAACCTTTTAACACAGAAATGTAAAATCTCTATTTTAAAAAAAACGACAAAAATGTAAAATATCTTTCTAATTTAATAAAGATAACCAAATGTGAGTTTAAGTTCTGTTCCTGCGCTATAGCTCGCCAACATTTTCATATCCTAGCTGGAATCATAATACTAAAGCTAAGGTTAAAAACAAAGATTAGTATTCAGTTTTTCTGAGCGTATATGTTCACTCATTTTTTAGAAAAAACAATTCAACTCGGCTGAATCATCTCGACAGGCCAACACTTTTATATTTTATATAATTTTTGCCGCATAAAACACCACCAGTAGATCTGCTTCTTTATTAAAATACCATCTTAAAAGTAATGAATTGTATAAACTAACCCGAAATCCTGTAGACGCGTCTGGTTTGGTGGTAAAACACCGATGGTGACAGATCACAACGTCCATTACCAGTGGCGTAAGCAGGGGGGGTTAGGGGGGTCATAACCCCCCATAGACCCCTCGGTATATATATAAAAAGTATGGGGGGTGCAAATCGAAAGTTTGAGGGGGGGGGTGCAAATCGAAAGTTTGAGGGGGGTGTGCAAATCGAAAGTTTGAGGGGGGGGGGGTGCAAATCGAAAGTTTGAGGGGGTTGCAAATCGAAAGATTGAGTGGGGTGCAAATCGAAAGTTTGTCCCCGGGTGAAAATTGGAACCCCCCCCCCCCCCCCTTGAGACGATCCTGGCTACGCCACTGTCCATTACACTTTCTAAATCGAATTTCGTACCTGGTCTATGTTGATGTTTTGTTTTCCAGGTAACTACAGTTAAACCAAGTCAGTCCGAGAATGAGCAAAATAGAGAGAAAGATAAGGTATTTTAAGTGCTACATTCTTATACAAAAATCAGGTGTTCGAGATTATATTTTTCTATCTATATACATAGTAAATGTGTATGAGTATTGATATGGTTTTATATTTATTGGTAAACATTCATTCTAAAACGGATTATAGAATAGTCAAACTGTATACCTATACCTTGAAATTACATTTAAAATTGTTGAGTAGCTTATGTTGTAATAGATGGATCTGACATTAGGGAATCGAAATGTGGTAGAAAAAAAAAATAGCTAAATCTGCATTACTGATTTATAAACAGTTTAAGTTAAGAAAATAAACACATACGAGACTTTAACACTAAATCTTGTCCAGGGCACTTCAAATAAATCAACCCAGAATGAAGATAAGCAGAGTAAAGAAGAAGAAGTAGAGGTATTGTGTTATGTTGCATTTTTAATACTGATATCGTGTGAGAAAGACTATATATATATATATATATATATATATATATATATATATATATATATATATATATATATATATATATATATATAGGTATGCATTCTGTGTGTATGTGTGGGCGTGTGTACTTAATTATGACACTCCGCATCCTTAGACCTTTCAAAACCATAATTGTGTGCATGGTGTAGGCCCTTTTATCTATTACACGATAACTGATTAAAGATTTTAAAAGTTATGTTGAATTAATCTTTGTTTGCAGAATATTACGGAAAATCCTAATACTTTTAACGTTAGGAAATATGAAGAGGATTGGGACCTTCCCAAAACACCAAAAGTACTATTTTACTTTTATATTTGTATGTCAAGTTTATGCCCACATGTATGTATACATTCATACATGATTTTATATTTACATAGATGGATAGTCCCTATATATATATATATATATATATATATATATATATATATATATATATATATATATATATATATATATATATATATATATATATATATATATATATATGCAGTGGCGTAGTGAGGTCGAGTGTCACCCGGTGCAGGCACTTAATGGTGTCACTCCCCCCCCCCCAAGGTAATATATAAATAAACATATATATATATATATATATATATATATATATATATATATATATATATATATATATATATATATATATATATATATATATATATAAATATATATATATATATATATATATATATATGCATATACATATATATATATATATATGCATATACATATATATATATATATATATATATATGCATATATATACACATATATATAATAGTAAGTATATATACGCAGGTGTATATGCATTGACATATATTTTTTATGTATTTGATAACACAAACACAAATGCAAACACAAACGAAAACACAAAAACAAACGCAAACACAAAGTAAACACATACGCAAAGAAAAAAGCAAACGAAAACACAAACGCAAAGAAAAAAAGCAAACGAAAACAAACCCAAACCCAAACCCAAATCCAAACGCAAACACAACCACAAACGCAAACCCAAACTCAAACACAAAGAAAACACAAACGCATACATAAACTCAAAGTGTGCACAGTCTAGCCCGTGGCGCCAAATCGCACCCTGACGATGTGCGGCGTAACCGCCTGATTCAATTTAGTAAACGACTATACTCCCCAACTTATTCATAGTCTTATGAACTCACTTACGCGAACGTAGGTACCAAAGCGAACACGGGAAGGCCCGGGGCGCCAAATAGCACCATGTCGGGGTGCCGAAGGACGCCCGGATTTGATTCACTTAAAGACTATCGTAACCTTTCTTATTCATAGTCTATCGCACTGTTTAAAACAAAGTTATGCATCATAGCGCTCACATGATAGCCCAGGGTGCCAAATCGAACCGTGGAGGGGCGCCGGCGGACGCGCCTGTTTCAATTTAGTGAACAAAATTATAATACTCCAAGCTTATCCGTAAATGGAAAGAATTAAACATATAGGATTTGTATGACCTGGCTTCTTAACTGTTATTGATTTTAAAAAATAAGTAGTAAACAGTACGTTCAGTGTATGGGATAAATAAAAGGCAGTATTAAAAATACCAACGACATTGCACTTAATCAATCCTTGCTAATTATATAATTATTTTTTTCCTAACACCAAAACAAAGTAATAAAAAGTAAATTCTTTCCCCCCCCCCCCCCCCCGAGCAGTTTTTTAAAGGGAAGTAACTGTGTTTTCCAACTCAAGGGACGTTATGAGAACTAAAGGACAAAATGCAAATACATTTCAGACACAATTTTAAAAATTTTGTAAACGTTGATACACTTTTTTTTTATTTTATGTAATGTTCATAATTAAAAATTATTATTCTAAGTATATGAAATGAAAATTGTTTTTAAAGACTTTCAATAGTAATTTTTTAACTCATAAATTTAGACCATGAGCACTATAATAATCTAACACTTAAATCCATGGAAGTATCGATTTTTTCGTATTTTCTTATATTCCTTTGTAATCCTCGTTTACAAACATTTTACAAACAAACATACAGAATTGAACATTATATATTAGATATATGTATATATAGTGGCTTATCATCGTTGATGCTGTCCACTTTCAGGTGTTGCTGTGGCTGTTTGGTGCACTGGATGACAGCAATGACCACTCGGACAAACTACACCCCGGCCTGCAAGAGTTCCGATATTTATGCAAAGACCTAGTCGAAGCTGTTGCCCAGAGCGGTAGGACAAAAATATTTCCAGTGAAAGCTTTTATAATGAACTTGATATCGTCATCAACGCATATTTTCAAAAATTCACATTGACTTTTATTGAACATTATTTTAGATTATCTATATAATTCACAAATTTTTTGTCATTTTTAGTTTAACTTTACCTGGATTCAATGTTGAACAGTTATTGTTTCTCGAAAAATGTGTAACTATGTACCATTGTTGGTAAAGATATTGTTTAAAAACCTTCTGTTTTAGCGCGTATAATAAAAACTTCATTTTAAATTGTGTAGAAGTTTTACGCTAAGAAATACTGAAAAATTGCTCGCATACCGGGGTTTTGTTTCTCTTTAGGTTTGCATTTTAAAAAAATGTGAATTTTTTATTTATTTGTAATAAAAGTTGATATAAATTTTCATTAGTATGGATGTTGGGGTGAATTTTTCCTCTACAGGATCGTGGCTGATAGTTCGAGGCAGCGACTCGGAACTGTTCGACTACATCGGAGATGCGTTGGACATCCACAGTCTTACGGTCAGCAACTTGAAAGCCACTGTCATAGGAATGATGAAATGGCCCTTCAATGATAACGCCTATCAGGACGTCGATATTCACAAAGATGTTTTACAGGTTACGAGCACTTCTAAGATGTGCATTAATAATTAAACTGTCATTAATCAATTTAAAGAACACACTTTTTTAAAGTATTAACTTTCTCTGTATACTCTGTATATTAAAAGCGACTAAACTTACCTACTTACAATTATTGTTTTATTTGTTTTATATTCACAGGACAAGCTGCCGAACCGATATGTCATTCACTATCATAAAACGAAAGACAACCACCCAAAGATAAACCCTTACATTAAAAATTACAGATTTCAAGATGAAACTTTCGATATTATTGATTTAAAGGAGTATCCTCCAGGTAAAATATCATTATGTTAGCATGCAATGATTTTTTTATGAAAGGTAAATTGTGATTGTTTGAATAAATAGATATCGCACAACAAGGTTAGCTCTCTAGGAGATATCAACTTTATTTATTGACTAATACATCCCCTCCCCCCCCCCCCCCTTCTACTATATACAAGTCTATCCTATGTAGCTTTATATAGGAAATTACTTGTCTAGTTAGGATTGCAATTCCCGATTAAGCAAAAGGGACTATAGTGGCATATGCCTAAATTCTTATATCGACACATACAAAATAATAATCATTAAAAAAGTTTTTAAAAACCCACGTTTTCTGATTGAACTAAAAAGTAGAAAATAAATGCTATAAATCACAATAATGCAAGCGATCACTCTACTATAAG